GCCTGAGGCCTCAAACCCCAAGCCCTAAAGGCCTAATCCATAAACCTTAAGCCCTAAATCCTCAAACCCTAAGAATGCCTATCAACCCGCAAGACGGAACCCTAAACCCAAGGTCCGAACGCTGGCCCCGAACATTTTCCCCACCGGTTTCCTGGGTCCTACTTGCGCGTCCCTAGTTGGACTTCTAGGGTTTTATTGTGTATGTCTTAGGCATATGACTGTATCCATATACCTAACTTAAATACCTGTATATCAATAATTACATGTTCCTACAGTGGGAAGCCAGGCCAGCCGAGGCGGGCGCGCGCTTGCGTTTACAATTAGGGACCTTAATGATGGGGTATTGGGCTCTCTGGGTAATCGCCAGCAACTGGTTGTTGAGAATAAGGTGTTGGGGTATATTCCGCTACAGCTATAACGGATTGAAGGGGATAATGTGACCTATGGCCTAAACTCCCAGTATCCTCCTTAACAAGCCCGATCATACTCTCTATATAAACCCTTATAGTACCCCTTTAATGGGTTAAGGCCCTGAACCCTTAACCCTGCAATCCGTTATCTAATCCCCCTTTAAAGAGCTTAGACTATAGCTATTATGACCCATTGTTGAGGGACGCCTAATGATGTATTTCGCCAGGCGCAAAGAATAAGTCAACTGGGCCGGTACAAGGATCCTGTATATTTTCCAGTTTGAGGGTTTAGGGTTGGGGATTTCCATCAACAGGGGGCCCCACATAAATCACAAGATACCATCATACTTATCATGGCAACTCCCCAAAACAGAGAGCTCCCATATAGCTTAACTCCTTTTGATGTCTGAATCACACAGAGATGCCTAAGGGAAATCCCTGGATGGTTCAAAACCTTCATCCCCATAAACCCTAATCCCTAAAACTGAATCCCTATGTACCCTAAACCCTAATTTAATGCCTTAAACTGTAATCCTTGAAAGAGATGCCGAGAGGAAACCGTGTGTGCGAGTCCCCACCAGTTCCGACCTGACAAGTTCAGGGTACTTGGAGGCTTCGGGAGCTTAGTACTTGAAGTGGTTCATGAGAGTATACTGGGTCTAGGGTTTAGGTTTTAGGGTAGGGAGTATATAGGGTTTAGTGCTATGGTCGCAATTATGAAGAAGAGAAGATGGAAAGGGTCATGGAAATTAGGGTTCATGCCGTACGTGGAGGCTCATGGGAGTAAGTAACTACTATAACTGGGTCCTTTTGAAAGGGTTATAGGCACACAAATAACTACCAAATAGACGAATACACATATTCATGGAGAGGCTATCGAAACGTGGCCTCATCTGGAAGCAGCATTCGGTTCAGCCAGGAGTGGATGATGCCATCACCCGGCCGCAACGCTACGCCCCCGCGATCCGCGATGAATTTGGGGAGGGTTTGGTGTGTCGTGACATCCACTGGCTTAGGGTAGGCCGCTGTGTGGCAGAAGGATTGCATGGTCAGATCTGCGGAAAAACCCAGGCAGGCAAGATCCTTCAGCTCGTCTCCTTAGTCATGCTTCATTGATTCCAAAAATCTTAAGGGTTTGGGGTTTAGGGTTTATGGTCTTGGGCCCAGGGTGTATGTTCTAAGGTTATTCCCAAAATCTTAAGAGTTTAGGGTTTAGGGTTTATGGTCTAGGGCCCAGGGTGTATGTTCTAAGGCTTAAGCTTTTGGATTATGCTTTGGGGCTTAGGGTACCCTGAGAGGCTAATCGCTTAACCCTAAATCCTATACCCTAAACCCCAACCCCTACACCCTAAACTCCCTAAAGACCATAAACCCTAAATCCTAAACTCCCTAAAGACCCTAAACCCTAAATCCTAAACTCCCTAAAGAGAAAGGCTCGGGTCATGGGGCCGGTCGTGTCCTGGGAGCCCACAGCGCCCATTCGGGGCTCGCAGTAGGTGCCGGGCACCACGCCGGGAACACCACAAGCCTTGCCTCGGTGGTAGAAGTTTAGGGCTAAGGGTTAGGGTGTAGAGGTTTAGGGATTAGGGATTAGGGCTTAGGGTATTAGGGTTTAGGGATTAGGGTGTAGGGGTTTAGGGTGTAGGGTTTAGGGTTTATAGGGATTAGGGTGTAGGGGTTTAGGGTTTAGGGCTTAGGGTTTAGGGTTTGGGGTTCAGGGCGTATGAACCCCCAGGAGAGCCCAATAATTGAATATAGCCTAAAGGTACTGAGTCCCTAGTATGATGTAAGCCATCTTTCTTAAGGTGTATTGGGCCCCCTAGGTAGAGGTCTATGTAGGGCTTATATGTAAGGTTTAGGGCTTAGGGTTTAAGGGGTTTAGGGTTTAGAATTAAGGGGTTCAGGGCTTAGGGTTGCAGAGGCTAATGGGCTTAAGGATCCTTTGAAAATGTGAAATTTCGGGGAGCTCATTTAAGAAAACTGCCAAACGGGAGGAATCCTAAGGAGAAGTTTAGGCGGGCAGGAATCTGTGTGACTCAAAGATGGTTATTCAAGAGCAGGTGCATGGATCCAGTCCTTCATTCTCCGCCATCAAGGGTTTGACAAGGGCCCCCTCAAAGGAGCCCCTAAGACCCCATTATCAAGGTTTAGGGTTTACTGTTTGTTTGGGCACGGATGGCTCCCATTGGGGGGCCATGACAGGTTGTTAGAAGTTATGGTCCCTTTTTTGCTCCCCTGTAGAAGATGCACCCGAATATATGCAATGCCCAAAAAAGCACCATTATTTTGATACCCTGCTTACCATGGATGCAGGAGATGCTTGCACCACCCTATACAGTCCCAAGAATCACTGAACTCTAAACCCTAAAACCTCAAACCCAAATCCTAAACCACACAACCTAAACAATTCATCCTGAAATCTAAGCCCCAAACGTTGAACCCCCACAAACCTAAACCTTGAACTCTGAAACGAACCCTAAAACCTAAGCCCCACGCCCTAACCCCTAAAACCTAAACCCTAAAAGAAGAGGCAAGTTTCCTACCAGCTTTTGGGCAAGCGTGTAGCCTTTCACTTTCGCATCCGGCTGTGTCATGGACCTGAAGCAGCGTTTAGAGATGGAAGGCTTAAGGTTTTAGAGCTTTCTGGTGCAGAGGGTGTAGGGATTTAGGGTTTTAGGGTTTTGGGTGTGTAGGAATTTAGGGTTTAAAAATTTAGGAATCTGTGGATTGGGGGCCTTTGGCTCCGGCTACTTACACACGGACTAATCTGCATCAGGGGTACCTATGGAAACCCCCAGGCCCCGAACAGTAAACCCTGAACCCTGAAACCCTATATCCTGAAGCTCTAAAGCCCTGAACCCGCAACCCAAACTAGACGTTTACCTTCCCACAAACCCTACATCATGACCTTCGTAAATCCTTTTAGTAGCACGAATTATGCCGCAACTTAAAGTGTTCCATGTAAATCCTTGATACTACCCCCCTTTACCGCCTTAGTAACTTAGTACTTAATGCTCACCTCAATATATGATGGTGCTAGGTTCGAGGGTGTTCATTATAAGGAGGGTATGTTGTCCACGCCAAACCCCAAACATCTAGTAGTTCCCATTTTCTTTTCCATACACCCTAAACCCTTGAACCCTGAACCGTAAATCTGAAAACCCAGAACCCTAAATCCTTAAACCCTAAACCTCAAAATCCTAAATCCTAAATCCGCAAACCTCAAACACTAAATCCTCAAACCCTCAAACCCTAAATTCTTAAACCCCTA